AAATGTTGGGATTGCAACGATAAGAATTCTACATAATCAATGTGTTGGCATTTAATAGTACGAAAGTGACACTGCATAATACGTAAATCCGTACAGTAGCAAAAAGTCAAATCAAGGCCTTCCATCGTTTCTAAGTGTTCAATTTCACAATAAAACTATATATCCCGACAGTTTGTAAATGTCGGGTTCAACATTTCAAACGTCTAACCCTGACGGTTTGTAAATGTCAAATTCTACAATTGAATCGTCGAAAATGTCGAGAAGTAGGCGACAGTGGGCGAAACAAATTCTTCAGCACAACACATTAAGTGTGATCATTAGTATTAAGCTAGATGAAAAAGGTCAGATTGGCCTTGTCATTGAAAAGACATTTAATGAAAACATTATTTGGTTTGAATGGAAGAAAGTACTCAAAACCTTAATGGTGATAATCACATTTGTGAAGGATTCAAAAATAAAGAAATCAATGAATAATAGTTTCAAAAATATGTCCAAGTTGTATTTAAAATTTACAAAACAGTAAACTGAAGTAAATATTTTATAATAGTTAGCCTCTTAAAATGGATTATAAATGTAAGAGAAAAATCTTCTTGATCAATGAAAATGAAGAAGATGAGAAAAATTAGGGTTTATAAGGGAAGAAAAAGATATATTTGTTTACAAATTCATATTCATCAATATAATACACATTTATCCATATTTTTTATATATAAAATAAATCATCACATCAACATAATCAACTCCTTCAAATTAAGCATTAAATGCTAATGAAAATGTGTCATTAAAGGTAATTTGGACATTTCACACAAAAAGTGAAATTTTTGCTTACATAAAGTGAAAATGACAACTTTTTGGGACCTTGTTAATTTTTTGACATTTTTTAAAATTCTCATTTTGGAAATGGATACTCGTGTTTATAGAAATAGTAATCAAAACCGGACTTGACCTACTGTTCCAACCAGAAATTTGGTGAACTGGATAACATGGTCGATTACTCTATTTGGACCGGTTCGAAATCAAACTGCTAAAACGACAGCCACATAAAATTGATGATCGTGCTGGAAAATCTGTCCGGAAAAATGAATGATCAGCATACACAGAGTACTGGACCCAGTGGCGAATTCAGGACTTCCACTCAGCTATGACGGACGTTGACTGATGACCGTCAACGATCGACGGATGTATAACAATGTCGTTTATTAATATCCTCCGTCCAAATAAGATTTTTGTCCTAAACAAAATATTTTGTGCTTTAGTGTAATCCACACACAAAATATAAAATTCTATACCAAAACTAATAGAAACTCGCCAAACAAATAACAGTAAAAATCAAAAGTGGTCGGAGTAAACTTTAAGACTCCCAAAATCACAATTTTAATACATCATTATGGCCGACAAATCGCAATAAAATTTAAGAAGCAATCCATTATATCTATCAACAGAGTCCATCTCATACTTTCCGTAGAAGCAAATACCATCCACTAAATATTTTGGACTACTTTTCTGAATGTTTCATCAAGCTACCATGTTGTCAAACACTTTTAAGAGCTTTATATAAATGCATCAATGAGAAAAAGTACAAACATCTTTACTAAAAGGCACATCTTTTGTAATCTGCATATCAAATATCATTTAACTGCAATGAAACACCAAAACAATTTCCAACAAAGTCAAAAACACATTCACAATTTTCACTCTCTTAGAAGCTCAGAATAACAAACTAAAACCACCAAAAAATCGTAAAAAAAAAAAAAAAAAAAAAAAAACCCCCAAAAAAAATAAAAAAAAAAAAAAAAAAAAAAAAAAAAAGCCCCTAAATCAATAAATTACTGACTTAAACCAACAAAAAAAACACTCCGGACAATAAAGAAGACCAAGATTTTCTCAGAATAATCACAAATAAATATTCACATATACAATAATTTTATCCATTTTAATAGATTTACAGACTATGTCAATCCATGGCATGGCAATCGGTGGCACGAAGATGGCAAGTCCCAGCCTCCTAGTCCCAAGACCCAAGCAACTAAGCAAGTCCACGGCACGCAGAGAAAATCAGATAAAGGGAGGAAATTGGGTGAAAATTGAAATCAATAGTCATGACTGTGAGCCATCTGATGGTTTTAGAATTTGGGCAATGGCTAGCTAATGGGCCTAATGTTGTTTAAGAAAAGGGGCCTAAAACAACTAAGCCCAGTAGGTTAAAAAATAGAAGAAGAAGAAGCCCAAATCCATTTCAAATCTTCTTCTTCCTTGTGGTTGTGACTCCTGTGAGTTCCGTCTGGCTCTACAACTTCCATTTCCACCAAGCGGCTACTAAAGACTCCGGCGGATCCAGCTAGGACGGCCGCCCTAGCTCGCCACCCCCTGGATCCGCCACTAACTGGACCCCTCTTTGGCTACCTGCAGGCCAGTTTCTGTGTATCTGGGAACTGAGTTCATGTCGACTGAGTGATACACTACCATCACCCCTGCCAAAAGGGTTGACTGGTGTAGAGCAAGAAAACCAAGAGAATTAATCTAAAGTAAACCAAAGGAGATAGTGGATTGAAGTCCACAAAATTAGTCCTTGCAATCTGTGTCAGTAGATGCCTTTGGGAGATATATTTCGTATAAACACCTTGAAATTAACGAGCGTGCATAAGAATATTTGATAAAAGTAAAATAGATGCTATACATCATCAAGCAATTTAAAAGAATAAAACGGAATGTAAAGTAGCAAAAAGGTTATATCGCTCCATAATCAGAAATAACAGATTTAGTTTATTATGAAGTTGACAAAATCAAAAAGAGATGGAAGTAGAATTGGACTTTTGTTTCTCATCTACGTAAAGATAAATCAGTGTTTATTAACATATCAAAGGAATAAAAAGGGAGATGGAAGTAGCACGGAACTTTTGTTTCTCGTGTATGTAAAAATAAATCAATCTTTTTTTCTTTTGCAAGAACATTATAGATAGTTGATAAATGATGAAATCAAGAAGGCGCCTCTTTTAGTCCTGATTACATACAAAAACCCCATTATTTCTAGGAGTCATCCTAATCCGAACAATACTTGCCATACATAACATAGAAATCACACTTGGAAAGGGTGGACAATTAGTTAGAGCAGCGGGTGCTGTAACGAAACTGATTGGAATGTATCGTCAAATATTCAATATGATTCCACAAGATCTAGTTTCGTTCAAGTAACGGATTCTAGCCAACTGAAAGGATCTTCTGATCAATCCAGAGATATGTATGGCTTGGAGGGAGATCTTTAATATCTTTCGAGATCCACCCTACAATATGGGGTAAAAAAGCCAAAATAAGTGATTTTAGAATGACCAATATCTGTTTTATATCTTCTAGGCGCAACTTCGAATTTTCTTAGGCCCCCAAACTTCCAATCTGCCAGCAGGGCATCCACATGGTGCTCGAAATATCAACACGGTCCTTCCATTGAGTGGCGCCATCCTCTTTAATTCCGCCTCCAGTTCCTTCCGATCCTGTCCCAATTCCAGCTGCTTCACCCCATTATCAGTGTCACAAGCATCAGTAACAGGCAAGTACTTGACACATTCCTCTGATTCCAACTGAATATCGTATTCAACTGCCCTTCGTAACCCCTTGCAATGTGGATTCCCACATTTCCTCGACCTCATATCAATAATTTCCCAAACAACACCGATGAATATGACTCCAAGAAGTAAAAATATCAAGCCCATGAAATATGCCACAGGTGCATTCTCTACAGCATCAATAATTAGATCAAAAAGTATGGGCAGACCATCGTAAAAGATCAGTTTAAAGTAGGGAACAATCAAGAATCCCAAAGATCCGATTGCTATTAGAAGCATAATCACTTCCAGGACAGCGAATGGAGAGCGACTACAAAATTGATGAGAGAAAGGGTTTAGCGAACTACTAAAATCATGGTGATGCCTTTTGGTGCGAGAAACGCTCAGTGAATTGGAATTGAAGCCGTTCTTGTGCTGTTCAAAAGTTCTGCAAAACTCGATCAAGTTCCGGCAATCAACCATCGGAAGCCTCATCTTGATTTGTGTGTGTGCGTGTGTCTTCACCTGAGACGGACCGAGCTAATTAAGATCGGCAGGCAGGCACAACTAGATTGCAATAATCTGGAAATAATAAAATGGAAGCAAAATCTGATTGTGAATCTGATTTGCAAAATGGATGAACTGAATCAGATGTGTAAAATGAGTGAATCGAATTGAGTTGACGGTTGCTAACCTACTGTATATATATCACGATGGTCAAATACAGACTCGCGAGAGTAGAAGGACCGAGAGGGATATTGAGAATTGACGCTCCAGATTTATTTATTTTTTAATTAGTGAATCATACAAGATAATGTCCTTGATTGGTTGGTACAAATTTTTACATTTTCCTTTAAAATTAATTTTAATTATATATTTTTTTAATAAAATAATTTTACTCAATGACTTTTTCATATTTTAAACTGCATATTCCTAAAAAATACGATTTTTCATAAAAATAAATAAATTATTATTATATAACATAATAATAGAAAGATATTCTTATTTTATTTACAACCGAGCTTTACAAGAAAGTGAGAAACTCTTCCTCTCGGTCTGAGGTTTATTTTCAGAAAATATACATCAAACAAATCCAAAATATTATATTATTATTATTAATAACCGAAAAAAATAACATAAGAAAAAATAGCAGAATAGTAGTAAATAGTAATAGTATTACTATGTCTAACTTCCAAAAAATAAACAAAATAGCAACAGTATATATAAATAAATATGTAATGTACACTTTAAAATGTGATTATAATGAGAAAGAGTAGTTGATCCCATAATATATGTAAATCATCATAGGAAACTTGTAATGCTATCCAAAAAAAGCAACAATTCAACACAATGACTGATAATTTTATAAATCCAATAGAACTTTAAAAACTATGCTCCAGGTTGGAGTTTTACAATATTGACAGCCCTTGAGGTGAGAGACGTATGAGAGTGGGGGTATCAATGGCTGGATCTTCGTATCATGGAAATGTTTAAGTAGAGTGGTTAATCACGAAGAATTGGAAGATCCGTTGTGGAAATATGCAAGATGGATCATATGATAAGGTTAAGCTCAAGGGGCATTACCTTTTTACTTTCTATTCGCAATATATCATATCACTAAAATGTATATGCAGTTGGGACCCTTGACCTTCAACAAACCACTTGATCTCCAGGCTCAAACCCTTCCAACAGTGATATCTCCACTGTGAATTCTTCCCAAGTTTTGTTCTAGATACAAATCTATAATGCCCTTATCACAATCGAGAGCAATGGAGCTGATGTGCGCTGGTTCGAGCGCTCATCAATCTGGATAGCTCGTTTGAGCTTAATGGACCTTGATATCATTTTAAAACTTAGTATTTTCATCTTAAAATTTTAACATTGTTAACATGAGTAGCATAATTTCTTATATGCTTAGAGGCGGATCCAAGCATGGACTGGACCGGGCTACAGCCTATGCTCGCTCATTCCCAGATCCAATAAGTCTTCCTATGTATTTTTTTATTTTTTTGTTCAGCCCATGTAAGTTGAGTGACTAGCCCGTGTCCAACAAAAAATTCAGCCTGTGTCCAAAGGAAAAAATTTGTGTAAGCCTAATAATAAGTAAATGGCCCATTGGCCCAAACATACCACCAAGTCCACCATTCATTTAAGCCCAAATTAAACCTAATTCTAAATTCTAACCCAAATTAAATTCTTCCATTTCAGATTATCAATTCGACAGTCTACCATTCAAACGAAAACGAGAAAAGGGCGAAAGGCGATTCCTCTGTCTCCATTTCTCCGACACAGCAAAATTTATAGAAAATTTAGGGACCCATATGTTAGCGGGAGCGCGGAACAACCGGACAAACAAAGACAACGGCTTTTGAACTGGTAAGTGCCGTGTGCCCCATTTCGAAGCGTAGAAATTCAATTGTAGTCTGTAGTTTCTTCGACTTTATAAATTGGACCTTTTTTTATATAT